GAGGTCATTTAGCCATTTAAATCAGCTGTGTTGGATCAAGCACACATGTAAACCTGCAGGACACCGGCCCTCAGGCCTGGAGTTGGACACCCCTGCTCTAAGCAGTTATACATGGTGTCAGTGCCGCTTTCCTTAAAGCTTATTGGCCAAAATGAATCAACAGACAACATCAGGTTAATATCAGCATTTGACTGAAATATTAGTGTCTGCCTCTAAAAATCGAACTTTCTTGCACCTTGTAGGTGTTAAGGCTGTGATGACATCTTGACCACATGTGTAAACTATAGAGGAAATGGGTCATGGTGAGTTTCTAATGCAACACAAAGTCTACTTGCTACTGAACAATGCACCTCATTATCACATCATTCCACGGATTCTTTGGGAACTGTGTTACTGAAATGTCTGTAGTACACAGACATGACTGCAGTCTACCCACTACACAGCACAGAACTATATAAAAACATGCAATGATTACTTTAATAATGTCCGTCTGCTTCTTGTTTCACCTCTGTCGCTATGGTAATGCTGAGCTCTTAGCTACCTCCTCAGTTGTGCATATTTGAAAGGATGTTTCCTGTTTGTACCTGACAGCGAAGCCTCAGCTGTTTGCTAACGTCAGCCAAACCCTCCAGAGTCTTCACCTTGGCCAACTCCTCCCTCAGGTCCTGGTGGATCTGCAGCCTGAACAGACACATGCATGCAGCATGCAGGAAAGGTCACGTTTTAAAGCAGTACTGCTGAGCTATAGCAGGAAGAAACATTGTGTATGTTTCCTACCCTGTACTAGATCACTCAATGAACAGCGAGCATGAAATATGATCTGGTGCAGTTATGTTTAAACTCAGTAACTGGGTAGACATGACACGCTATCATTTAGTCTATTAGGAACTACTGAGACCTTCCTGGTGTCATGCCCGATGTTAAAATAAGCACAGAGGACAGATGTTCATCTATGCTGGCACCTGAAATGTGTTGTAGGTCATCACAGAGAAAGTTTGATCCACCACAGCTTGTATAGGAAAAGATGGACACTGTGATGTCACTTATTGGTCCTGATGTTTTAAAACACACATAATAGACGAGGGGCGGAGCTCCTAAACTAGACTTTATCGTTTTTTATTACTCCACACTGTGTAAAATTAAAATCATGTTGTATTCAGTAATTTAAACTAATGACTGAGGCAATAAACTCATCAGCAGGTGTTTTTTTTGAGCTTATAAATCAAAGAAGCCATATTTGACTCCTGGACCAGTAGCATTTCTGGGAAACAGAATCTCCAAGTGCAGGAGGCAAAGAGAGACATACGTGTGATGCCACAGCTTGAAGAGGTGGGCTCGAACATAGGACAGAGTACATGGAGGATACTGCTTCACCACCTCTAGATACTCCTCAGCCATTTCCCACACCGGGGGGCTGCGGCCTTCAAACAGCGCTGGGTTATGGAGGTTCCCCTCTAAGAACAATACAACACAGAAATTGTGGTTGCTATGGTCGTCATCGTCACATCAGGGAAGAAAAGTAATAAATAAAACAAACTCCTGCTCCTGACCTGCACTCATCACTCCCTGCACGCCTGTTTCCTGAATGCAGCGCTCCACATCACTGAGGTGCTGGATGTTGCCGTTAGCAAATACTGGAATATTTACCGCCTGCCTGTAACAAATCACAGAAGTCAATATACATTAATGTTATTTGGCTCATCAGCTTCATGGTTCATCTGATTTTGCTTTAATATCAAAGCTACTGCATTTAATTATTAGTTAGGAAACATTGGAAACAGGAATACGTCCCACATCAGATACAGAAGACGAGCAGCTCACCGTACAGCCTTTATGTGCTCCCAGCTAGCGATACCTGTCATGGCGCCTTTCTGGTCTTTGGTTCTGCCGTGCACTGTCAGCAGCTGGGAGACACGTCAAGACCCATCAACACAGATTTATTCTAATGCTTCTGGAAACACCATTTAAAGCAAACACACAAATCAACAGTCAGAAATGAAAATAAACTATGCAGCTGTGTGTTACGCTCGTTCAGTGAAGCGTAAAACAAAGATGGCCGAGCCACACCAAACATCAGATTTGCTGAATTTACTCCTCATCACTGCTCCAGTTTAAAAATGATTTTCTAATGTAACACACCGTTTTCTGTGCATGTAGTTTTCCTTAAAAGCTCTTATTTGTAAAAGGACTTTACATAGAAATGGAACACATCCTTAAAAATACATACTGGCAAAGTTTGCTTATGGTGACTTTTACAATAGCCCAGCTTCAGCCCGTTCGTCTGTGTCTTTCTATACACTGTACGAAGCTCAACTTAGAAGAATCTTTTTTCCCCCCTTACAACAACAGCTAAAGTAAAAGGACAATTCTGTTTCTGCTACAGACTGGGAAGTGACAAGCCGGAGAGCTGGCAAACTCATTCAAATTAATGCAGAGGTCATACCTGTCATCCAGCGTTCTCGAGCATCTGGGCATAGCGGACTGTCTTTTCAACCTCCTTGAACACACGGATCTTGCACGTGATTGGCACTTTGAGCTTTTCGTTGGCTAAGCTGACTGACAAATAAGGGGAAAGTTTAGGTGCCTGAGATTAAACTGATTAAACAAACAGAAGATGTGGGAAAAGTGTTTTTGCATCATGAATATTCGTGAAAACATTATGTCCAACAACAGTCTTCAGTCACACAAACACAGACTTACCCATTTTTTCCAATAGGTCCCATTCATCTTGTAGAAAAACTCCATAGTGTCCTTAAAAAAAAGAAAAGAGAAAAGAAAAACATCAGTGTCAAGTTCCCCTTTCACTCGTCTGCAAGTTTGGCAACACTATTCTTTCTGATGCAATCTTTAAGAAATGGTAACATAAGAAATTCATGGGTTCATATATGAATGAAGGGTTTACCTCTCTTAGCGATCATCTGTGGACAGCCCAAGTTGAGATCAATGGCGTCACAATAATCCTGAGCCAGCAAAGCTGCCTGAAGGAACACCTCTGGATCATTGGCACAAAACTGACACACAGAGGATGGAACACTGATTTAGATTAGGCAACAGCCGATGAAGTGATTAAGGTGATGTAATGGTTACATTTGTTTCTTTCTTTCTTCCTTTGCCTCTGATAAGGAGGATTTGAAATGGGCAAAACTGAAAATTTAAATTAAAAATGGACAAATAACAAAAGCCTGCACTTTGAATTTTTTTTACTGCACCACAAACGTCTTGAAGTTTAAAAAGAAAATAAATAAATAGAAAATACAAAACTATTAAAAGCATTTTTAAATTACTGATATTACTATTTAAAAACAAACAAACAAAGAACTCAACTCAGTGTTGATTCTCACCTGTGCAATAAGAGGCCTGTCCTCCTCACAAACTTCATTGTAGAGGTTTTCCCTCCTGTAGTTGGCGTCACGGACAAACACCTGAGCATGCAGCATGGGGGTGTAGCAAAGCTGAGCACTGTGTCGGCGGCTAAGCAAACGCCAAGCCAGCTCACTCTGGTCCACCATGGGAGCTACCACATAGCGTGCTTCTTTCAGAGTTTTCCTCCAAAACTCAAAGCCCTGAAGTTTGGCCATCACAGCTGACTTTGAGAGAAAAGGAAGGGTAAGAGGTAAATGGACTGGTTCTTATGCAGCTTTTCTACTCTACCTGAGCATCCAATGCTCTTTCTATGCCGGTGCTTTCTAGCTAACATTCTCACACGTTCATTCAAACAACTGGGGGCAAGCATCTTGTCCAAGGATGTTTGGCATAAAGACTGGAGCAGTCAGGGATCGAACCATCAACCTTGTTATTAGTAGATGACCTCCTGAGCTGCACAGGTAAAAAGTTATTTTCCTGCAGTTTCAACACAAAAACTCATCAAGGCATGGGTTTTTGAATTCCTGACTGTGTTATTGGGCTGCAGTATAATTATAGTAGTGAACTGTCCGTTTTCTTTTTATTTACATTTGGTTTAAATCGTCCACTTATTATTCAAATTAATTAACGAAAGTGTACTCTTTATTATTCCATGACAATTGGACAAATTGTGGCTCCAGTGTCTCTAGCATGTATCACTGACTCTTCAACTGTGCCTGAACTCTGTCAACATGTAGCTAGCAAAGCTAACCGCAGGGAACAGACATGTACCGCATGATGTCCCACCGTAGTAAGAAACAGAGAAAATATCCCAACATAATGATACAGCTCTAAGACATTTACGTTTAACCTTGCTCATGTGTTGACTGCATCTATTTAAAAATCTAGGAATTAGGGTTTTTTTCACCTGTAGTCCTGGCGTAGCACTTTCCAACTATGTGTAACAGCGAAACATCGCCGGTCGGAAACCTTTTTCAGTTTCCCCCGCTTGTTCTTCTTCGTCTGCTTAAAAGCAGTTGGCATCAGTCTACGTCAGTGTTTTACTGACCCCATGTGCTGTGGTGCATGGAAGCGCCAGACGAAACAATAAATCTACAGTACACGTACAATGACCGTACATATGTGATTATTTTAAGTGTTCGGCATTTTAAATCTCACTTAAGAAAAAGTGCATAACTGCTTGTCATGCAAACAATTATTTTTGCAATTATATTATATTACTTTCTATGTGCAGTTTGCATGTTCTCCCCAGGTACTCCGGCTTCCTCCCGCAGGCCAAAGACATGCACTTTGTGGGGATAGGTTAATTGAAAAATCTAAATTGCCGACAGGTGTGAATGTGAGTGTGAATGGTTGTCTGTCCTTGTGTGTTAGCCCTGCAACAGACTGGCGACCTGTCCAGGGTGTACCCCGCCTCTCGCGCTATGACAGCTGGGATAGGCTCCAGCACCCCCCGCGACCCTGAAAAGGATATGCGATGGATGGATGGAAAAATATAGAGGTACTATGTTTAGTTTTAATATCTGTTAGTTTGGTCAAAATGTTATTGCAATTTGCCTGATGAGGTATTCATGGGAATGTTTGGATGTCTATAAGACTGTGAGTGCACTGCCTTTTGTAAGTCTGGCCTCTGACACACACCATCCACACAAAAACAAAAACAACACTGAAACTATATTAAATGTAAAATAAAACAATTTCCAGTAATGTATTTAATGGGGTGGCACAGGCGAGAGAACAAGAACATAGTGAGGGTGTTGTGAAACAGACATTCTCTTGTTTAATGGTGTTGGGCCAATCATATTTTAGGTCACCCCACGGACCATGTGGCCAATGATTTCTGAGGCAATTCTTGTGCAATTCTAAAATGTCATTTTATAAATAAAGTTTTCTTACATAAATAATATAGATTTAAACAGACACTTGAACACAGGTATTTAGATTACATTTTTATAGTCAAGACATTTACACAGTCGTAAAGATTTATTTCTGCATTAGAACATATGGTTTCCACACAAAATAGAGTCAAATCATTTAGAACAAAAGTCTGGATCGGTCGTATTTGACTGATGTGACATTCAGCAGGAATTAGTAGTAAGGTGCGAACAGCGACATTATTCCATTTTCGGATTAACAGTCAACATGGTAACACAGTTAATGGAATAAAAACAAAAACAACATGGGCTTGAGAGTATATAAGCTCACATAGTCACATATCTCCTCACCACCTGTTTAACTGCAGCTTCACACAGAAATGCAAATACTCTACATTCAAATAACACTGACTCGTGTTTTAGCTTTAAACAACAAAACGAAGACAAAGCATAACAATCAGCGACAAGCTCTGTTTGTTTAAAACACAACATATAACATACACAATTTAAAAGAAACAAGACGTCCAGCATTTATTGCAGGCAGGTTGCTGTTGTGGTAGGCCGTCCTACAAACCAGTCAACCTTTTAAATGATCCAAATGTAACCATTATGGCCCTTTACTAATCTAAGTGGCACACAAAGCCCCACTCACTCATCTTTGCATGAGAAATCACCCGTCACCATGGATACTGACAGATCTCAATGTTCACCCAGCTGTTGTGTTATATTTCCTGCTGTCTCCTTACTGAATTGTAACAATCCCGTTTGATTTCAACTTAGATGTTATTTATTGATTCTTAGATTTTACTTAAAGTAATGGTCTGAGAGAACCGATGGTTATGAATCCAAGTATTGCAAACACAGCTGAGAAAATGTATTTCAGGAAGCACCCTGCAGCTTTTTTTCAGTTACCGATTTAGACATAGAGCAGTAGTTACTATAGTCACTCTCTTTTAGCTACGTGTTTGGTCTTTATCCAAATCTGAGAGATATAATATTTATAACAGAAAATATGTTTCTTTTTTCTCCTCACTGTAAAACAACTTCCTGGTAGGTGCCTGCAAAAGTTATACAAAATAACATAATAGTAATAGTAATGGTAAAAGTCTGCACAGTTCCATCCCAGGAGTTCCTTTCATGTTTTCTGCCATCTTTCAAACATTCACTAAGTTTGCATCTCTGCACTTATTTCTGTGAAAATTAAAATGAGTGACACAAAGCCAAAACAATCCCTTTAATGTTCTGTTTCACTGAAACACAAACAGTACAGGCAGTACAAAGCATGTAGGCAACATGAGGAAAAAGCTTTATAGTCATCAGTAAATCGATGCTTTAACCACACCTGTTTCATCCTAAGGGGACACACATATAGTCAGCCTGTCTTTTGGTCCATACAAACATACTGCGTCTTTATCCTATCTGTATATAATTTGCTTTGTAGCGTAACTTGGTGCTTTTGGGGGATGAACAACACAATCAGCACATTAAGCCCAACAACAGATACCCACAGTCAAACACATGTACCACAGTGCATTGAAAACATCTGATGCTTGATAGTGAAGGAGGGTAAGAGAGACTGGTACCTTCAACGAAAAGCACTTCAGACTGAACCGACTGCTTCCTTCTTTAAAACATCAAACTAATCCTAACATCATAGTGAAGCTACAAATAATATTTGGAGCCTGCTTCTAATCCACACACAGCTACCACTTGACTGGGAACAACCTTTAGAAAGTTCGTCCTAAAAAACATAGTTTTATCAATCTCAATGGTGACGGCACAGATCAGGTGGGAAGATCATTTGCAGCTTTGGACATCGGGTGGAGAGGAGCTTCTGGTCATTACACAACCATCATTACATAAAGCTTTCCTGACCCTTTAAAACAAGCTGAATCAACCGTTTACACAACATTTACTGAATTTCTCATGTGTTTTTTTTTTTCAAGTAAAAACACAGAATATTCTTTCAAATTATCCCTCAACTTTATTTGCTGGTGGCTTTTAACATGAACTGTATAGACAAGGCAGTGTTGTGACAGCTAACCACACTAAAAACATCTAGAGATAAAATATTGCTCACAGAACTATTAGTATTTGATACGGCAGTGACTCTAATCTGCCATATCAGACACGAACACCTGGGTTAAACACTACATCATGGGGAATAACTATCCAGTACGGTGTGGTCCCATTCACGTCACTGAGCTGTGTGGAAAATAATCCCGTCTTCTACCCATTTTCACAGGCATGTTTCAGGACTGGGGGTCATGCCACCATTTAGTTGGGGCTCTTTCAAGAACTTTTCCACTTCCTGTGAGTCCACTGTTACGCTCTTTGGCCTGACCTCGTCTACTTTTTCTTTGTCTTTTTCCTCCTCCTCCTTCAACTCCTTCGATACCTCCCTCTTTGTTTCCTTCTCTTGCTCCTCTCTCTCTCCCTTCTCCTCTTCATCATTTACCTCCAAAGGCCTGCTGCATACTTCTGTCTTGGTGTCATCTGTGACTGTGATGCACTCAAGTTTGTGAGATGGCTCCTGGGGCTTCCTTTTGATAAAGAAGAAGTTGCAGGTAGCTAGAACCACAGCGGAGAGGACCACCTCGCTTCCTGCCAGCAGGAAGACGTACATGTATTTCTTGGTGGCATCGAGCAGTCGGCCTGAAACGGAAGAACACAGTGAAAGATGCAATTATGTAGTAGAAATGATTTCGCTTCATTTGTGGCGATGCTGGTTTAAATAAACATATAGTGACACGTTTATGGATTCTTTAATTATCTGAATTTCTGCACTCATAACTCATAAAATGTGCTTAAATCATCCTGTACAATAAAACTGTAGACAGAAAGTGACTAACCCTAACATATGAACAGTTTTTATGAAGTATACATGCAGTCCAATAAAAAAACAACAACTAAGTGCATGTTTACCAGTCCAAAGCAATTAAAAGGGTATGTACCCACATAGCAAGCAGGTCTGGCCTGGATCTGGTGTCAAGCTGGCACTTCTGACTGACCGGTGTCATGGCACAGTGTTTGTCAACCAGATGTGTGCTAGGTCTGGCAATGACGCCACTGTTTATGCGATGGCATGCCATATCTGGCTCGATTGTGGTTTGGTGTATGTGGCCCAGGCCCATAGAAAACAGGTCTTCCCTGGGTCCGGCATCAGGTGGCACTTCTGACTGACTGGTGTCATGGCAGGGTGTATGTCAACCAGATGTGGGCCAGGTCTGGCAGTGATGGCACTGTTTATGTTCCTATTGTCCTATTTTAGTTAGAAGACTCAAATGCCATGTTGCAATACTACACTGCTATGGTAGCCAACGTTTCAAATGCAGGTTTGACAGGTTTGTGAGTGTACACTTTATCCAAAACTTAGTGACGGTTTACTCATCTTTGCCAGTGGATGGCTGTAGCTCAGGAGGTAGAGCAGGTCACCGACTGATCGGGAGGTTAGTGGTTCCCTGTCTCCTCCAGTCTGCATGTCAAGAGTGTTTATGTGAATGAATGTAGTTAGGAAGCACTCAGTTTAGAGAAAGTGTGCGATTGGGTGAATGTGACATGTTGTATAGAGCACTTCTGGCACATGTTGTTATTACATGGCTTGATTAAGGTACACATTAGGCTGACATCTGGGCCCAGAGCTGAAACAGATCTGGGCCAGCAGTGTGTCTACAACTGGCCCGTGGCTGCACACAACTTACACATGGCCCACATACCGCAAAGAATGACGGCCCTTTGGTGGCCCAGATCAGGTTTGCCAGAGGTAATGTGAACACCTCTTTAAAAATCATTTTGGCAGTTTACCAGCCTGGTCTTTACTGGCTACAATTAGCATGTTCATGACTGTCCAGGGTAGAAAAAGATGAACAAGCATGAACAATGTCCTCTGGACAGATAAAACCAAAGTGGAGATGGCCATTAGGCACAGCGCTACATCTCATGCACGGTGGCGGAGGAGTGAGGATTTGTGTTTGTTTTGTTGCAGCGGGATGTTGACCCCAAGCACAGCGGCCAAGCTGCAACAGAATATATGAAAAAAAAAGTGTTGCAATGGATCTCAACCTGATTTAAACACTGTGGTGGGCCCTTAAGAGAGCTGTGCTTAATTGAATGCCAGCAAACCTCCATGACCTGAAGTAATGCTGTAAAGAAGAGTGGGTGAAAATCTTAAATCTTTCACATGATTTGAGATAGTGATAAAGTGGTACAGAGAACAGTTACTTCAAGTTATTTTTGTTAACAGTGGTTCTACAGCTACTGAACTGTGTATAGGACATGAGCCAATTAAATAATCACTAAAGTCCCAACTATGACCCGTTGGTCTTGGATACAACCTCATATCTTCCTGTT